GCTTGCATTTTATTACAACAAATTGAGATATATTAGATCCAGAAAAATATGAAATATGTTTCTTTTCACTACATACTTTGAATTTTTTTGTTCTTATTTTTGTTAAATTCTCTAAATCACAAAACACGCATAATCTCTCAAGATTAAACTTATTTGTACCTAGCAACCCATCCCGGCCTCGCCTAGATAGGATCTATTAATGTGATGTTATTTACATTTAAGATAATCAACGACCATTTATTACACGTATTTTTCGTTTTTTTTTTTCAAACAAAAATCTTCAAGTTTTTTGGATAAAACATAGCATAGAACAGTGGTTACCAAAGTTTGACTGGGTTCTAACCCACTTAACATAAACTGCCAAATTCGGGACCCACCTCTTGGCCGTCTTAAAGAGAGGGCATAAAATATTGGTAACTCTCGAATTCCTTAGTCACGGAGCTACTTACTGGTGTCTTATTTATACGGGCTGTTTATTTTGTAGTTTTTTTTTCATTTGATATTAATTTGTTATCATCACCCCAAATTTAGGAGCTTGGGAATGAATTCTTCATCCAGAAGAAATTCAATATAATCACTTTTTTCTTCCTAGTAAATTGCAACTTCATTGCGTAATTACACTAATCGTGTCAGTACCTTCCCGCTGGATAACCAAAGTGGTGGGTACCTCTGGTCACTAGAGGTGGGCGTTGCGACGACGAACCGTTTACAAAGACCGTTTTGTGTTTTGCGACGATGAAACCATTTTACATCCTTATATAGGCATTGGCATTATTTTACTTACTAGGTGACTTCGATCACTGATCATATAATGTAACAGTAATGTTTGACGAAATAAATAATTTATAATTTATAATCCTGGGTTCAAACAGTCTTCGTTGCACAAATCAGTCTTTGGATTACTTGGTGCGATTATTTATTTTAAGCCTATGAAAATACAGTCGAGAACGCAATGTTTCAACTATCTATCTCACTTGTCGCGTCGTCGTCCTTAACTTTGCGCGTTATATTTTAGTTTTTTTCGCGTTCATTTACAAACGTCGACAGAGACTAAACAATCCTTACAATAAAAGTGAACGTTTTGTCAATAAAATACATTCGCTAATGTTAATGTTAATGCTAAGTCTGTCCCGGCCAGTCCTAAGCCTGGGAAAGTTCATTTCATCGTTAAGTAAAGTCGATCAATGAAATGAATTATTTAGTAAATCATTTCATACATTTCAATCAATCGTTGATAGTTGTAGGAAACTGCAACTATTTCAATCGACGAAGACGCAATTCTATTCCATGTTGGATAAGCTTCGTCCTTTAAGCCGTCTTCAAACCAGTTGCAACGATGACCGTTTTCTGTAACAGTTTTCGTCGTCGGGAAAACGACGGCGCACCACTACTAGTCATAGACCGCGCGCGCCGGTGTCAGTCAGTGGCCGTTTGGCTATGAGCCCGATCCATAGATAATATACTATATAGGGCAGCCCGATCGAACAAAATATCGTATTACATTTCAGGGCCCTCTCAATATTAAGCAAAGGAACTGGTGGGTCGAGACCCGTATTTTGGGAAATTCTGGCCTAGAGCCCTCCTGACAATTTTCTGTTCGTAAAGTTTTATCACAATCAGTTCCGAAGATTAGCCTGGACAGACAGATAAACAAAAATGGTTATTTATGTCTTAATAGTATGCAAAAAAATTCCTAAACTCAAGAAAATCTAGTTATTTTAATGTAACAGATACTCTAGATTTATTTATATGTATGGATTGATAAATATGTACATTAAGAGTAGTTTACACGGTGGCAAGACGCCTTTACTGTCGAAGAGTCTAGCTAGGTCGGTGCCGCCCTCTTACCTATTTCTACCAGTGAACAGCTGCTTAAAAAGAAGTTAATATACGCGACAAAATCCGTAAAAACTAGTATTATTTAAAAGTTGCTTTAGAAATTGGGCGCAGGTGTAAATGTACTGCAGTAGCCACTTAACTGTTTTAACACTTTTAAAATATATGTGACCAGATAAAATATATCGATCACAGCTTTTTACCAAATAGGTTGAGCATTACTCCAGATATGTACTGTGAAGAACTGAACACAATAATGGAGAAGCTCGCCCATCTCCAACCAGCTTTGGTCAAACGCTCGAGCGGGGTCGACCCCGCTACTCCTGCACGACAACATGCGACCTCATACTGCACATCAGATGGTTTCCAACTTACAAGAGCTGTGGTTGGGAGCTCTCTGTCGTCCGCCGTATTCACCAGACCTTACCCCTACAGACTTCTACTTTTTCCAGAATTCGGATAACTTTTTGGCTGAAAAAATATTAAATAATCAAGAGACAGCAAAATGCCTTTAAAGAATTTGTTATCTCTCGTCCAGTCATTTTTTCACGATCCCAGCAGACATCACATCACCCGCATTTTGCACACGTACACACACGTACACACGTACACACACGCGCACACACACACACACACACACACACACACACACACACACAGAGAGAGAGAGAGAGAGAGAAAGAGATACCAGTTTACTGTCTTTTTAAGATTTTTATTTCTTTACCTGTAAAAATTAAAAATAATTTAAGCAATACAACTGTGTAATCTTATTCAAAAGGTTACTAAGTAACCTAGCTAGGAGATGATGAAGATGTATTTGTAAAAAGTATGTAAGCTATAAAAACTTAATAAAAAATATCGCCATCACGGAGTCCCAGCCACCTCAGATGACCCAAAAGGCTGCCTGGTATTGACCCGTTTTCAGAAACGACTACAGGAATAATTTGCAGCAGCCCACCCCATATGTTGATCACCACGTGAGCCAGGTTCAGATATTTTGTTTGCTCATCTGTTTTGGCTTTCACGAGGTTCTCGTCATACGGAATGGTAATGTCGACCAAAAATATCCTTAACTGTGCCCGGTGCATTAGCACAATATCAGGCTTATTCTCATGGATAGTCCTGTCTGTGATGATGGCCCGGTCACAGTAGAACCTGGCGTGATCATTTTCAAGCACGGCCACCGGCTAGTACTTATAATACGGCAATTTCCGGTCCACGAGACCATATTTCAGAGCGAGCTCCTGGTGAAGAATTCTGGCTACTAGGTTGTGCCTGTACAAGTACTCAGAGTGAGGAAGCGCCAAACAACCGGAAATGACATGCCTAAGTGACTCACCAGGATGGCGACAAACTCGACAGATGTCTACGGTGCCATCTTTTAGGATTTGTCTCCAATAGTTGTTGGTCTCGATAACTTGATCTTGTATTGCACACTCTAAACCCTCGGTTTCCCCAAAGAGGTCACCAAGGCGTAGCTAGTAGAGGGAGGCTACTGTGTCTACGAAAGGCTCATGAAGAGCTCTGTAGAACCTCCCGTGGAGCTCCTTTTCCTTCCTCACGGTCTGCCAGTTGGCAATTCTATGTACTGTTGGTTTCTGCCATTGCTCGTTGGCTAAGAACAGATGGGTAAGTCCTTTATCACAACAAATGACGTTCTCATAAAATGGATCATACGATCACGTCGAGAAGTAATTACGGAGGTTGCACACTTCGCGATTATGCATATTGAGCGCGCTTAAAAAACCATGCTCACTATGTTTTCGTGGTAAGTACAGCCCATACCGACAATCCGGATGATGCACTCTATGGGACATCATGGTAGTGCGGACTTTTCTATCCAGACCGTTGAATTCAGTCTGAGACCACCTGAGTATGCCAAAGATATACATGAGGACAGGCATGACGTAACCGTTATATGTGAGTGACGCAACCATTATATTTACACCGGACCAAAGGATATTAAGCTCTTTGGTCAAGCATGCATAAAACACGTGGCAAACTGACTGCTTTGGAACAGCCTCATCGATACTGATTTTCTGTGACATACCCATCTATATCGGTATGTTTCAGCTTCGGAAAGGGTCTTCCGAAAGCTGGGTCACTTTTGTACATCCTTTCCGAAGCTGAAATCACCACCCGAAGCCCTCCAGTAAAGTTCTGGCTCAGACAATCGCCCTGGAAGATACCTTATGCAGCTTTCCACAGCCGTCATCCGCTCGCCTAGATGACAAAGAATGATAAACCATAAAGATGATAAATATTAATTATTATTATTATATCTCCATCGACCAGAACCACAAGATGCGTCGAATCCGGCGCAGTATACCCGCAGATCTATCACAAAGCGATAACTTTATGCACCGTGCTTTGTGGCAATCATTGAGGAAGACCTATGTTCAGCAGTGGACTTGTGAAGGACTGTAATGAAGATGACGATGATTATGTTGGATTTTATGCTAAGAATAACTTTATCTGTTTAATAAATATTCGGCTCTTAGTTAAATACGTTTAATTGTGTCACCTATTTTTCGCTTATATAAGCACGTGGTTTTAGTGGTCTGTGTAATTGCCTAATGAAGCTGCAATTTAAGTTTGGATTTCAATTGGAAAAAACAGTTGCCACAAAACAAACTTTAGTACTTGGTACTGGACGTGTTGTAATAGCTCAACAGATAATTTTCGATGGTATTCAACATTTTACCATCGTTATTGAAAAACATTTTTTATAATAGACCTCATGTATAATAAACCTCACATTACATGTGGATGTTATTTAAAGAAAATTTTTGCAGGGGCTACGTTCTCAGAGTATCTGAATGTTGGATCCCGTGTCTTGATTTTGATTTAAAAATTGGATCCATTACAAGAACTTTTAAAGTAACCATGGCGATTAGCAGATCAAATAGCAAAAGGAAATTGAAACCAACGTTACACATGTTGTATTTTATATTAAAAAAATAACACAAGATCAATATTGCAGAGCTAAAATTGTTAAATGAGCAATTTTACAGCCAATACGTAAGCTTCCACCTAGGTATTATAAGTTATATGAGAAGGAAGTAAAGAGGAGTTAGTGAAATGATTTAAAATAATTGATGTAACTCTCTTTATATTCAATAACACTATACACATATTTTTATACATTTACATTTAAATGTTTTTTACCAGTGAGCTAATGGAGCTCCGTGTCCCCACGCTCCCCAGCCTAGCGAGGCCAGAGGTGCTCGCCAACCGACAGCGGGAACAGCGAGAGGTGCAGGCGCTATCAAACGAGCAGCTGGTATGTCCAAACGAGCAGAGTGAGACCATGCTGTTGCTAAGGGAGCTGCTGCTACAAGGGGAGCTGCCGCTACAAGAGGAGCTGAACGTTTCTTCAGTAGGTGAACACCACCGTGATCTAAAGCTCTCGCTGTCAAATGAGCTGCACGATCCAGGTTTACGCTGAGGGTGTCCAAGGGTCTGCCATCTGTAGCCAAGATGCTAGCTGGCTGTCCAGGCGCTAGCGATAGGGGTCCTCGGTAGTTATAGGGACGGAGCGCTGGGGCTGCGATTGCCAAAGGAGCAGCAATTGGCCCATGTACTGCACCAATCCAAGGAGAGGCTAATCCAAGTCCAGCGAGACCCCACGGAGCGATAGCGCTGGGATTGGCAGCCGCTAGGGCTAGCACGGATGACAACACCACCAGTTTAAGCATTGTGGTCTGTGTTGCTATCAATTCACAAATGAACTGTTGCATATTCCCTGCAAATAATGCCTTTTATACTAGTTCTAAGTAGGTGATATCCTAAATACCTTTGTGACGTCATAAAATATTCTATAGGGCGTTGGCTAACGATAAATCTCGGTAAAGATATCAGAACCACAGTCTGGGCGGCGCTTAACTTCGGCATTCTATTTGTCTGATCAAATTTAAATTTTGCTGAATGTATGTAAATAAATACTAACAGTAAGTCTATGGAATATAGTATTGTTTCCCTGTTTACCTTGGGCATATAATAGGGCCGTTCACTTTATCAATTAAACGACGACTTATACTACTTCCAAATCTAAACCTACAAGTACTTTTTTGTTTTAGGCTTTTGGAAGTATACGCGTAGTAATACGAGTATTTACGGCACATTCACTGGCGCATGCAATAGGTATTTTTTCACAATTTTTCTTACCTATAAATAAATTTTACATACATACAACATACTAATAAATATTTTCATAGTAAATAACTAATAGATACAGTTGACAGACACCCGTATTCAGGCACAGTGTGTTAGGTCTCATAATGCGCACGAATACACGGTACAGAAAACTTGATCTTAAACAACACTTATGGGATGACATATAGCTTTCATTCTAATGGCAGCTGCCTAGCTTCTCCACTCTACGAATTAGGCTCGGAGTAAAAATAATCAAAGTGGAATTCAAAAGCAAAATCAAAATTATTGTAATTGAATGATTACCCATATGACCATTGATGTATATATTACACAATGAATATAACACTTTACGTTTGACAAAATAAGAAGTGAAAGGAGGACGATTACAATAATGCAGCTACATTATTGTAATCGTCCTTCTTTCACAAGGTTCCGACTAATACATTTTTATCTAAACTAGTTTTCTTTATTTCTAACGGCATATATTTTTGTAAGGAAACATATAAGCTAAGAAGTATATTGCCACGTCTATTATCTATCAACTTATTGGTTGTCTGATTTAGAGCTTTGACGTCGGTGATTACATTTTATTAAAAATTATGTTTTCATACGGCCCAACCACTTAAAATTTACTCCAATTACTCTTCAGTAGACACCTTAAAAGCTTCGAAAAATAGATACATACATAGAAAATTCTATATTGCACTCAAAATAATTGGTACAAAGTTGGAAGCCGAAATCTCATTCTTTGTCACACTATTTTAATAACAATCGGTAGACTCGCAACAAAATAAATATTTAAACATATTATTTAACTTACTTACTTATTTATCTTCACGCACAATCCCTAACGGGGTAGCCAGAGAGAACAGATCGCCAAGTGTCACGATCCTTACATACCTCTTTCGCTTCTTTCAGGTTCATTAACTTCTTCATACATGCACGTCTAGGTATCCGAGTACTCTTGACCTTCCCCTCTTCGAGCAATTTGCTCACATGATATTATTTAAAATGTTTAAAAATATGTTAATTTATACATATATACGTAAATGTACTCGTATGTTCGACTAAAGTTAATCCAATATAAACTATCTCCAACACACGTGCAATAAAGTAACTTTCAATCGGCAGTGTTTAAAAAAACAGGAAGCATACGTAAGAGCACGCATCTATTTACCGTGTATCACACAGGTTACGTCACATCATAACATGAACTTGATTAGCGGTGCGCCGCGTACGAGTTCATATGAGACTGGTAACTCAAACCGGTCAAGTGTAACTGAATGTAAGCTTAACTATTTTGACTAAGTTTTCTTTTTTTTTTTTTTGTAAATGGAAAATTGCCAACATATCATGTTACATTATATTTTTACTATTATCGCATAATATTTTGTCTATATGTTCATTATTTAGCATTTACAAACATTTTACGATGCACCCAACCAAAAAAATAAGGTTTCCTCTTTAAAACCGATTTGATATTTAACAAAAACAACTAAAGCCCATAGATAAAACTTATAGCAGAATAAAAAGTTTAACTATAAAATTAACTTATTTATTTAATCATTACCATTTTTGAAATATTATTTTCTTTTCCTTTAGAAAAAATTTTACCCCACGGTAGGATTTTCTCCCGTATCATAAAGGCAGTTTACAAACATAAATTTCACAAAGATAAACATCCATACCCGGTACTAATATTTGTAGGCCATACAAATACTTGTTTAATGCGGAATTCGAACCCGCGGTGCCCAACCAGCACAACAACTCATTGCTAAGCCACTGCGCCACGGAGCCATAGTTTTTAGTTCTGGACACATTTCCGTGCGGATCATGGCAAAAATATAAAACATTTCCAAATTTTAATGAATGACATAACAGACAGCATAAATGAGAACCGTGGTAGCCCTGGGCTAAACTCTCGCTGTAAATTTCACAGTACGCGAGCAAACCCTGATTGCTATGATAATCCCCGCCGGCACCAATAAATTTGTTAATTGCAATTTTAAGTGCTGATTGATTGTGAAGAAAAATTCGTGAGGAAACGTACGTCTGAGAAATTATAAAAAAGATAAATCGAAGACATGTAAAGTTCACCAACAACACGCATTGGGGAATCGCGGCAGACATTTCCTTATCCTAACATATTCTCAGCAATGAGAGGAAGCCTGTGCCCAACAGTGGGGTGCATATAGGCTGTAATATTAATAAATTCAACTCCGAAAATTAATCCAGTAAATATTAGGTATAATCCACGGTGCCTTGCTTTGTAAATAGTTTATAAAATAAAAAATATATCCCTCAAAATTTCTTTTAAAATTATTAAGAGGAGTATTACAAAAAAAAAACGCGAAATTTCAAGGTTTCCTCGTTGAAATTATGTTTTTCGTTAATTTTTTGAAATAACAATTACTTCGTACTCTACTAAAATAAGCTCTGAGCAAATTTTAGATAACTTATTTATTTATTTAGTAATAATGATTCTCCCGATGCATGTTTAGGCCAAAATTCTGAAACACATGATTTGGGAGCTCTGATTTGTAGATTCTGTTGAATATCGACCATCAAAGTATATATTTATCTCACAAATATCCAATACTTTAATAATGCTGGAATACATTTTTGTTATATGCCTTTCACGTAAGGAAAAAATTGACATAATTCAATTAACGACCGAAAAATCTTCGATACAAGCCCCAATATCTCCGAGGTTCTACATCATCTTAACGTAAAGTTTATACCAAAATAATCATCAACACTTGCTTAAACTATATTGTGATTTTTACTTTTTAAATCGTTACTATTATTTTTTAATAAATTAAATAAAACTACCATATATTTCACTGCGCGCGATATATATACTCTATATATCGCGCGCAGTGAAATAGTCCATAGTCCATAGTCTGCTCGGAGCGTAAAATACCTAAATTTGCGTAACACCGAAAGGGGAATGCCCACTCTTCATAGACACTTCGGCCATGATTGCCCACATATAAAAGCATATAGATATGATAATATGCAATTAAAACAATGAAATGGTAAAGGAATTGCTTTAAAAAACATCGGGGTTTTGAAAATATAGAAGTTTTTATTTTCACAAATGCAGTTTTTTTAACAACTATTTTTATCGATTTTATCGCGTTTTATTTCTTTGATTTTTAATTCCAGACGTTTCGGGTGCTTTCCAGCACCCATGGTTACGGCAGACTGAGGTGACTGACGTCCCAATGTCAGTGTTAACCCAGAGTACCTTCAGATTTTAAATTTTTATTTATGGTCCGATCTACAGAATGAACTTACTGTGTCTTGAAGTCTTGCAGTGGTATGCTTGGGTTTAATTTTAATTTCATTAATTACAGGGTCCTAAGCAGGTGGTAGTACCAAGCCTCCTTCTCTATCGAATAAAGAATTTTTTTATTTCAATAGTCTCATGTATCGTCCTTTTAGAGGATTTGTGGTCTATCAAATCTTTTTTTGATGTCTAGCTAGTTGGGCCCGTCTAGGATATGATCACAAACTGCAAACTTCCCTGAACTTTGATGCTTCACGTCAGCGACGTCACGCTTCAAGATGTAGCCAATCTTGTTTGTGACACCCCTGACAAATACTAGTACTGCACATGCTTGACTGTGGCCGGCTTCACTCGGTCACTGTGACGTAAGCGTAACTTTGTTATATATACAAACACTATGAAAAACAAAATAATTTGTTGCTGGCGATAATGATAGTGGTATTTTGACTCGATTTAAAATATATGCTTGTTACTACAGAACTCTTCATGGGCCTGCGAGTCCGACTCGCACTGAACCACTTTTTTTCAACTTTTAGTTTTATTTTAATAAATAGTTTTTTTGGTTTAAGCGGAGCTCTTTTTACTTTAGATTTATTACCTCTTTATCTATAATAATCAATCTGAGTAAGTAAAGTGTGTAAATACGATTCTTAAATTGTAAAAATAATAATTGGATTTGAACATCTTAGGTAGGTATTTAGTTTTATTAATTTAGAAAATATTAATCTCACAATTAATTATTGTAATAACATAAATGTATCACACAGCTAACGCCCTCATTAGCAATGTAAAAGTAAAATAAAGTTACAGCCTATATACATCCCACTGCTGGGCTCAGGCCTCCCCCTCATTTCTGAGAGGGTTTAGGGCAAGGTAGTGTCCGCCGCGCTGCCCAAATGCGTGTTGACGAACTTCACATGTCTTCGAATTATTTTTTTTCTCTTATTCCTCAGACATGCAGGTTTCCTCACGATGTTTTCCTTCACCGCCGAGCATCAGCACTTAAAATTGCAATTAACAATTTCATTGGTCGGCCGGCGGGGATCGAACCCGGGTCACTCGCGTTCTGTTATATTTACAGCGAGCGTTAACCACTGAGCTACCACGGCTCAGTCTCATAACAATCTAGTGGTGAAAGAATTCTCAAAGTTGGTCAAGTACTTTACGAGTTTAGCGAAAAAAATATTCTTTGATAGTAGCGCCCCCAATAATAAAATGCATGCTATGTTTTTAAGCACCATAGCAAAAAAC